ATACATACATACATACATACATACATACATACATACATACATACATACATACATACATACTTATAAAACCATATTCTAATATAACCGTTTTATGTATTACCTGGAAGATTGATATCTAGTACAAACAGAGTACCTTTAGGGTATGTACATGTACTTAAGAGTGTACATRCATGAGTACCAGGTTGTATTTTGAAGTGATTCATTACCATGTAAAGTACTTTTACCCTATGTAGTGAGTACCAGGCTGTATTTTGAAGTGACTCATTACYCTGTAAAGTACTTATACCCTACATGGTGTGTAGCAGGCTGTAAGTAATCCTGACATGTCTGACCAGGTGCATGGTAGGCGTGCCCACCTGTCAGTGTGTGATCCAGCTGCAGGCGGGACTACAGTACCTGGTCTCTGTGAGAGCCGTCAACATCGGGGGGGCCAGCGACAGGAGTGATGTCATCACGGTGTCCACGACAGGTAAACACAAACATCACGTAAAAAACAAAGTTCCTGTTTTCATTCTGGGGCCTAAAGGGTTCAAATATTTAAAGTATCAAAAGATTTTACTTTATTTAAAATAAAATTACCCATTAACATCTTTTCACTTCCTTCTTTAGCTACACTTCCGCTACTTTTAGCATGCTGTGCTACTTTTAGCTACTGTTTTCCTTCTCTTAGGCCACTGTTTTACGTGTCGACCCTCCTGCTGTCCTTGGGTCAAAACGACCCACAAACACCTGTTTTAATRTGGCCAGTTTGACCCGTGGGCAGCAGGAGKGTTAGCTTATCTCACCACTTTGCTTTATTAGCTGTTGGTCCATTTTGGACAATTTTAGCTAGTTTGTTTGTGTTGTTTTTAAAGTGTCTGTGACGTGCACAAAACGTTTAAAACATTATTTATATTTAATTAACTTGGCTYAATTCAACCATATAACTGACATTTTGTTTTTAGCTTAGCTCAAAGTGAAACAGGAAGTGACATCAAAGGGGAACTTCCTGGTCTTTTTGTTGAAACATTCTTTGAACCTTGACTTAATCAGCTCTGATGAACTCAAAATAATCTAAAGRAAACATCAGATTYTTCTTTAGTCTGTCGTTTACCTGCAGACATTCCATGATGTCACTTCCTGTTTCCTCCTGTGAATATCTCAACAGCTGTTTATCTCAGYGACATGWTTTTTACAAACCCTGGACRTCACAGGTCCTTAACTGTTCAGTTATTTGGTCAAACTGGTCCTTTTTGACGTCCCGTCCTCCACAGGGACGTTCTTCCACCTGCTGGAGGACACGGCCCATCCCTGCCTGTCCATCTCTGAGGACAGCTTCACGATATTCTACGGCGACGAGGAGCTGCCCATCAGTGCCATGGCTTTAGACGACAGCACCTTCACCAGGTGGAGCACGCCGYGGCTGACCGTGTTACGGTGGACCGTTTCTGACGCGCCTCTCCACCTGTGGACAGGTGCGTCGCCGTCCTCGGGGACCTGATCCCGGTGCGAGGCAGACACTACTGGGAGGTGGAGGTGGACGAGGACACGGAGTTCCGGGTGGGAGTGGCGTATGAGGACACGGAGAGGGACTCCTACCTGGGGACCAACAGGACCTCCTGGTGCATGAGACACATCCGGACCCCGTCCAGGTAACCAGCAGGGGGGCGTGGCTAAGATGGACCTGATGATTATTGATTTGATTAAAACTGAGAAAATAATCTGCAGCTCATGACTTTTGAAGCTATTCCACTGCAGCAAAAAGAAAACTGGTTCTAATAAATTTATAGATGAGCTAAAATTTAGCTCAGTAGCAGCCGAGAGTCCTTCCTGACAGACTGAGGATTGTTGAGCATTTCTCAGGTAACCCYGCTCAGGTACTAGTTAGCTGCACGCGACGAGGAACAGGAAGTAGCTTTGAGTTTTTACAGATTWTAAGTTTTAAAGCAGTGACAACAGCAGCTGCTGGTTCACAGTCTGGGCAGCAAAGTGGTGAACCGAGTGGAGCTAATTATCTTTAGCAAACAAAACTGGCCAAAACATTTTTATATTTATAGATACTGACCCGCTGTGGCTTCTGAAACATCACCGTTGCAAAAGCAGGTGTCTTGTAGCGGAAAAGGGGTGTGGCTTGTAGTTAGGGGGCATGTCTTGTAGTGTCCATGGCTGCAGCTGGGTATTATTGACACCGATTTGCTTCTACCAATTTTAAATCCATAAAAATAATCAAGTGTAAAACTTCTATTTTGACGCCATTTATCCTAAATTAAAATCTGTCTCCTCGTACAAGCAGTGCTGGACGTCAGGCACCATGTGTGTTAGCATGTAGCATCTTTAGCAGCTAAACTTCAAACTAAGAGCGTCAAAATAAAACATTTAACAATATTTAAATAATAAATGCAAAAACTATGTATAAAATATGATCAAGTATTTCCTATTTGTTCAAACCGTATTTACAAAAATACAAACCTGATCAAAGACATCCTTTTATTCTGAAAGGGATACACCAGAACTCTGGTTTGGATTGCCCGATTTGCCACAGATAATCCCGCCCACCTTCATAACTAAAAGGTTTGTGTCTGTCCCATCAGGAGATGAAAACTGACAGTCATCGTAACGGTTAGTGTTAGATTGCAGTAGTTTTTCCTACTGTTTTGCAGATTAGCATTAGCGGAGCTAGCCTTCTTGTTTTGCAGATTAGCATTAGCGGAGCTGACATTCTTGTTTTGCAGATTAGCATTAGCGGGGCTGACATTCTTGTTTTGCAGATTAGCATTAGCGGAGCTGACATTCTTGTTTTGTAGATTAGCACAAGCGGAGCTAGCCTTTTTGTTTTGTAGATTAGCATAAGCGGAGCTGACATTCTTGTTTTGTAGATTAGCATTAGCAAAGCTAGCATTCTTTTGCAGATTAGCATTAGCGGAGCTAGCATTGTTTTACAGATTAGCGGAGCTGACATTCTTGTTTTGTAGATTAGCATAAGCGGAGCTAGCCTTCATGTTTTGTAGATTAGCATTAGCGGAGCTGACATTCTTGTTTTGCAGATTAGCATTAGCGGAGCTAGCATTCTTGTTTTGCAGATTAGCATTAGCGAAGCTAGCCTTCTTGTTTTGTAGATTAGCATTAGCGGAGCTGACATTCTTGTTTTGCAGATTAGCATTAGCAGAGCTAGCATTCTTGTTTTGCAGATTAGCATTAGCAGAGCTAGCATTCTTGTTTTGCAGATTAGCGGCTCATGCAGCTCAGTTTTTAGATGTGTCTGCCACTGATTCTCAGCAACAACCAGATGAAATGTTAGCTGTAAAATGATCCAACAAACATCCAGGATCAAAGATTAATCCACTGAAAATCCAAAACAGACTTTCTGAAAGTTTCATCTGGTGGTTCATTAAATATTTAACAGACCCGAGGAAAACCTGCTCTGAATTTCTGTAAAAATGTTTCTATAGCAACTATTTTAGGAACCCAAGCAGCTCTGATGATCATTTAGTAAATCATGCAGTGTGATTCCCACTGAGGCCATCCTATTAATCCTGCCTAAAATAAAATATTTCAAGTCTCGGCTCATTAATCTGCTCAGATTTTCTGCTGGAAACGGATCAAACAGAAATAAAAACTGTTTCTGAATGATGTTGTTTTGTTTTGAAGACATAAATATGAGTTTCTGCACAACGGCTGGAGTCCAGACCTGAGGATCACGGTGCACCCGGTGCGGATCGGCCTGGCTCTGGACTACGAGCGGGGGACCCTGTCCTTCTTCAATGTGGAGCTGCAGCAGCACCTGCACACCTTCCACTGCCACATGCACACGTACGTGCACCCCTGCTTCAGCCTGGACAACCCCGGGGCTCTGAGCGTGCACGTCGGCATGGAGGCTCCCCGACACGCCTTCATGTGACACGAAGCTTTTTTTAAAACAGGAAGTGAAATATTTAGCTGCTTCAGCTGAATCCATGTTTTCAGTAAAGACAAAAAATATATTTATATATTTTTAAGTGTTTTTATTCCAGTATTCCATGGGAACAGGCATACAACATTTTCAAGATAAGAAAAGTTTTCAGTGAATTTTGTTTTTAAATCAACTGCAGCTGCAGCAAAACCAGCTGATGAAACTCAAAAATGAGAAGAAAAAAAAATAAACAAAAAAATGAGCTGAAAAACTAAAAAAACAACAACAGGTTTGTTTTTCTACAATCGTATCCAGGTCTTAAAGGGAAATCCAAAATAAATATAAACTGTTTGTGGTCATGATTTGTTTCCTGCTTTTTAAAGTAAATTTAGAGTCAGATTAACAAACTTTACACTTGGATGAAAAATAATGAGTTTTTTAAATCTCCAGTTGGAAGATTTGCAGGTGGCTACGAGACTAGAAGCAGCATCTGAACCAGGAAAACAAAGGAGCTGTTTGTTAAAGGATCCAGGATTAGTTGTAACATTAGACTTTATTTAATAAACATTTATTTTAACTGTAAAAT